GTGGACATTATATCTGGGGTTACGCAAGATGAGGGCGCCGTGCTTGGCCTGAGTAAGGTTTAGAACAACAATTCTTGAACCTCTTTCGCTCTCTTCTTGAACCTTCCCTTTCTGAACCTCTCTCCAGGGCCATAATTATATATTTTTTGTAAGGGTGAGCTTTGAGTAGAGATAATTCAAGACAGAGTAATATGAAAACCCAGATTTACTTAAAAACATAGAAAAAAACGTATAAATGCCAGAAAATTGCGAAATTCATAAATCTTTCGTGATCCCCAAAATACCCCAAGCAAATCTTAGGTTAAGACCCGCGGATTAATAGGACTATTAAGAATCAGTGAGGACTTCATTTCCCTTTTCTCGTGAATGTCTTATCTTTTATTAACTATTATATATTGTAAACTAGAATTCCTTTATATTTCATATATTAATGTTGAGATTGTAAAATGTGATATCTATACGCAATGCTATTTTCAAATTCAATGGAAGCATAAAGGGCTTCTTTGTTCATGGGATAAGACACTTTGATAGAAATATTAGCCCACAAACAATGTCTGGATTGAAGTTTTTCTTTATTTTTCTTCATCCTAAATTAATCATCATGTTGGGCCTATCCATAACTAATAACATTAGAAGAAAACCCATCACGGAATCAGTTAGGACTCCAGTTTCTTTCTCTCGTGATTGTTTCATCTCTATGAATAATATATATTGTAAACTCGCATTTCTTTACCATTGATCTACTTACATTGACATTGTAACATGTATTAGCTCTACCACAACACCCCACGCAGAAACAACTAACCACGCGGTTCCTTCCTTCGACCAGTTTTCTCCCTGGACAACGCCACGGCAGACAACCTCGTTCGGAACTTCTCTGTCAACGGCCCTGTTTCGTTGATGTTCGGGGACTCGGAAGACGACCCCGGGTACTTGGCACGACGGGCCTTCCACCACTACCTGGGGCCCATTGAACAGCCGGCGGAGAAGCGGGATCCTATTATCAGGGTAAAGAGATGGTGATGAGGGCAATAATAATGTGGATATTGGTGGTTTATAAGTTTGTTGGTTAGCATAGTGTGGTAGTATGGGTAATGATTATATATAGATTTGTTTATGATCATTATGTGGATAATGATGACATTGTTAAGAACCATAGTGTGGAATTTACAATAATGATAATGATGATAGCGATATTAGAGAACAGTAGAAAAAATAGTAAAGATGATTTTCCAGTTGTATCATGCAATGATTATACAAAAAGAAAAAAAACGCAAACATGCAGTCCTTCGCGTGACAACAATGATATAATTAGGGTGATCGAATTAAGGCATCAAAACAATAAATATACAGCCTGTTTTCTAACGATTAGATCAAATCTCTCAGCTTTTTAGTCCAAATCTCCCAGCTTTTCAGTGACAGAATGTTCGACATGTGCCACCTGGACGCAGTCGGGCAACACCTCCGAACATCTCATCAGAACGTGTTTACGTACCGACTGCAGCATGACGGAGAATACCAGTTTGTTTTTGGCCTCTTCAATACTACTCCGGAATGGTACAAAGGCTGTGAGTATATTATTTCAACCAGTTCTGAGACATATGATTACTGATGATTACTGACATTGTTCTACCATAGTGATACAAATCTATAACTTCCAGTTCTTGACGACCGATTACACGGGTTGCCAAGTCACTATTGTCGTAAAAATTGACGATTTTATCCAGTGTCATATTTTGTTTTTTTTCCGGTTCAGATGTCGGTCACGCAGATGACATTTTATACCTGTTCAGTCAAGAGAAATTCAATCAAACGTTGAAGAGGGACGAGGACCTCTTCGTCAGCCGCATCATGGTGGAGATGTGGACGAACTTTGCCTCCTTCGGGTAATTACAATTATATCAATGCCTGATTTGCGTGGATGCTAGGGTGCTGTTTCCACGATGTGTCCACGTCATCTACATCGGGAACTTACAATAACCCATGTACATGTTCGAATAGTATTTAAAATAGAATTTATTGTAATTAGTATAAATTATGTATAAACTGATTTCGAATATCCGTCACAGATACCCTAAGATTACTCACCATATATGCTCGAATAGTAATTAAGATACTATATGATCTTCGTATTTATAAACTAATTTCGAGTATCCATCGCAGATACTCACCATGTAAGTTCAAAATTAATTAAAATGCTGGGATCTCATGTATCATAATCATTTCGATTATCCATTACAGATACCCCATGTTTACTTATCATGTGTCCTTAAGACCTACATTTTCACGAATTCTCTTCTCCCTTCCAGACACCCGACACCCGACATGTCCCTCGGGTTCAAGTGGAAGCCGACGTCTTTCCCGAAAGACTCCTACTTAGCCATCACTTCCTCGCCTTCCATGAAAACCTTCGAAGACTGCGAGGTATTTTACCATGAATGCTGCTTCTGTAATTTTCCTGTCACTGTAGAAGATTCGAAGACCAATGACGCGGAGTGTT